CCTAGCAGTTCGAAAGCACATCAAGTGCAAGTAGATAACTAGGTACCACTCCAGCGTGAAGGTAAACAGCGTTTCTGTGCGCTGCTCTGGTTCGCCAGAAGCGGCTTAGTCATGCTGGCCACATGACCGGAAGCTGTACGCCGGCTCCCTCAGCCAATAAAGCGAGATGAGCGCCGCAACCCCAGAGTCAGCCACAACTGGACCTAATGGTCAGGGGTCCCTTTACCTCTTACCTGGTCCAAAGAACTGGAGTTTGCTCCTAGAACTGCTAAGAAGATGTTGCAAGAGAGAAAAAGCTGAGATTTCGCTGTGCTCTGTAATGGCTGGCGCTTTGGGTGTAGAGCTGATGGAAGAGCCTTTTCTTTTGATGCTGGTGCTGCCAGCATCACCTAGCTCAGTACTGTTGACACTGGCTGGCAGCATCTCCCCAGAGATTCAGGGAGAGCTCTTACCTAGAGATGGTTGGCACTTGAGACCTCCTGCATGCAATATAGACGCTTATTCCTGAGCTACGACGACGTGTGGCAACAGAGCAGCATTGACCCAGCCCACTCGCTTACACAGAACGCTATTGAACCTGTTTGCTTGCTTTCAATGACAGCTGACAGTCTTTCTCAAGACGTTTGGTTTGGTTTCGAGGAAATGCTTAGCCTTTTTCTTTTCTCTCTCTCTCTCTCTGTCCCCTGCCCCCAACCTTAAGAAAAGGCCACTTTGCAGAATCTTCTCCAAATATTCTCCCCTTGTTTTGTGGGGGGAGGGTGCAGCTGAGGGGTTCAGAGATCCTCAACAGCTCAGTTGGTTGGAGCATGGTGCTGAAAACGCCAAGGTTGCAGGTTCGATCCCTGCACGGGACAGCTGCATATTCCTGAATTGTAGGGGGTTGGGCTAGATGATAATATAATAATTTATAATAATAATTTATTATTTATACCCCGCCCATCAGGACCCCTTCCAACTCTACAATTCTGTGGTTTTATGATCCAATCTGGCTGCAGCAGGAGACACAGTTCACCTTCCACCACAGACCACTTTGTTCGCCTGCCTGCTGTAGTGAAATGACGTAATTTACAGTAATTAATTACGTGCATTGCATCATCATTACGTTATTCCTGCCCATTCACTTTCGTTACAGCCATGGGATGAATAAGTAAACACTGGCAACTTCTAGTCCTGTTTTCTTTTTCCATCAGAATTCTCTGGCATGCCTGCCTTCAAGATGGGATCCAGCTAAAAAATATCCTCCTATTCTCTGCGGGGTTCATTACATGTACACCGTTTAGAAATGCGGATGATTAAGTGGCGTATAAATGCCTGGAATAAACAATAAGGTGCTATGGTTCTGAACTGCTGACACGAGTGTTTATTTTTTATTAAATATTTTATTAGTTTTTTAACATATCATTTTCAACGACTATTAAACATACTTGTATATCTTATACAACCAATCACATCTGAAAATTTCCCAATCTCTTCACTTAATTTACATTTCTTACTTTCACTATTACATTTAAATATCATAACTAATATATCTCTTCTTAATCTTCTTTGCAATGTTTCATATATTTCTCCTTACAAAACTTCCTGTAGTCCTACTAGCGTAATTTGTTGATTACAGTTGCTCTTATACTTATCTTATACAGTTCATATATTTCTTCCAATCTTCTGTAAATCTCTGGTCCCGCAGGTTTTGAATCCTTCCTGTCATTTTGTACAATTCTGCGTAGTCCATTAATTTTGTCTGCCATTCTCCTTTGGTCAGAATTTCTTCTTGCTTCCATTTCTGGGCCAAAACACGAGTGTTTATTTCTTATTCTGCACATTCCCGTTGCCTCATAACACAAGTTATCCAGCTGACACACAGCAACTAGGCTTAACTAGAATTTGTGGGGAATATCTGGGCAGCAGGTGCTTTCTCGAATCTATATCTGAAGTTTATTTCCTTAAAGCTGGGGAGAGAGAGAGGGAGAAATCTGATTTCTTAATACTGTTGAGCAGAGCTTGAATAACCGCTGGACCTGTGCCTGCTCGCATCTTGAAGAAATAACCCTTTTCTGTGTGTGTCCAGCTGAGAAGTCAACTCTTGAATTCTCATGCAAGATAACGTTTTGGCAGCGCTCCGGCTTGGCTAATGTGCAGCATCTGTAGCTCTGACATCGAGAGCTTTTGATGTTCAAGAGTCATGAAATGCACTCCGCTGACTGCGGAGTTGTGTCTGAAATAATAGCTGGCACCCTGGCAGATGATGAAAACCTTCCTGAGCTCTTCCCCTTAAGCTGGGCTCCACCAGCAGATGAGAGAAGCAGCAACTCCGGAGAATTATTTGGGGCTGCCCGGCCGAGACTCAGGGGTCATTTCACATAAGCTGGGAATGGGAGCTTGTTCTTCCGGGGCAACTCCTCCAGACGGCATCATTCATCCTGATTTGCTTGCACAAAGCTTACACGGAGGTCAGATTAGAGTCAGTCTTTATTGAGCATTCATTAGCGGGGCGGCTAGATGCCAAGGATCATTCATCTTGTTTTGCTTGCAGGGCATTTATATGCCTTTCCTTTAGTCACTCGTTCATCCCATGCTTTTTAGTGCAGTTCTGCCTCACTTTCCAGTTGTTGTTGTTTAGTCGTTTAGTCGTGTCTGACTCTTCGTGACCCCATGTACCAGAGCACGCCAGGCACTCCTGTCTTCCACTGCCTCCCACAGTTTGGTCAAACTCATGCTGGTAGCTTCGAGAACACTGTCCAACCATCTCGTCCTCTGTCGTCCCCTTCTCCTTGTGCCCTCCATCTTTCCCAACATCAGGGTCTTTTCCAGGGAGTCTTCTCTTCTCATAAGGTGGCCAAAGTATTGGAGCCTCAGCTTCATGATCTGTCCTTCCAGTGAGCACTCAGGGCTGATTTCCTTAAGAAATGGATCAGTTTGATCTTCTTGCAGTCCATGGGACTCTCAAGAGTCTCCTCCAGCACCATAATTCAAAAGCATCAATTCTTTGGTGATCAGCCTTCTTTATGGTCCAGCTCTCACTTCCATACATCACTACTGGGAAAACCATAGCTTTAACTATACGACTTTCCAGACTCACCCTCAAATCCAGTTTATCTGTTGAGCTAGGGCGGCAGAGCCCTTCTGAAAGCAGTGTGGTGTAGTGGTTAGAGCATTGGACTAAGACCTGGCAGACCAGGGTTCAGATCCCCCGCTCGGCCATGAAGCTCACTGGGTGACTTGGAGCCAGGCACTGTCTCTCAGCCGAGCCTACCTCACAGGGTTGTTGGGAGGATAAAATGGTTGTGGGAACTTGGCACACCATGTTGAGCTCCTTGTTCATAATGAAGAAACCACTTTAACAGCAAAAAGTTCCCAGTACAGTCGTGGGTGGCGCTGTGGGTTAAACCACAGAGCCTAGGGCTTGCCGATCAGAAGGTCAGTGGTTCGAATCCCTGTGACGGGGTGAGCTCTCGTTGCTCGGTCCCTGCTCCTGCCCACCTAGCAGTTCGAAAGCACATCAAAGTGCAAGTAGATAAATAGGTACCGCTCCAGCGGGAAGGTAAATGGCGTTTCCGTGCACTGCTCTGGTTCGCCAGAAGTGGCTTAGTCATGCTGGCCACATGACCCGGAAGCTGTATGCCGGCTCCCTCGGCCAATAAATCGAGATGAGCACCGCAACCCCAGAGTCAGTCACGACTGGCCGAGGGAGCCGGCATACAGCTTCCGGGTCATGTGGCCAGCATGACTAAGCCACTTCTGGCGAACCAGAGCAGTGCACGGAAACACCATTTACCTTCCCGCTGGAGCGGTACCTATTTATCTACTTGCACTTTGATGTGCTTTCGAACTGTTAGATGGGCAGGAGCAGGGACCGAGCAACGGGAGCTCACCCCGTCACAGGGATTCGAACTGCTGACCTTCTGATCTTTACCTTACAGTCATATCTCGAGTTACAGATGCTTCAGGTTGCGGTTTTTTTGGGTTACGGACCACCGAAACATGGAAGTACTGGAACAGGTTACTTCTGGGTTTTGGCGGTCGCGCATGCGCAGAAGTGCTAACTTGCGCTTTGCGCATGCACAGAAGCGCCGAATCGCAACCTGCAGAGGCGCAGATGCACCGCTGCGGGTTGCGAACACTGCGGGTTGTGAATGTGCATCCCGCACGGATTACGTTCGCAACCTGAGCATCCACTGTATGTGCCTGAATTCTTCAAAATCCACATGACACTTGCCCATGGTGTTTTCATGAGAGGTGGTCAGAGCAACTTCCTGCCTCACGTCATTGGCTGGCAAGGGGTGGTGAGCGGGGAGATGCACTTCACAATGATGTCATGTCCTGCGTCTCTCATGGGTTCCTCCTCATGGACAAACAAGAGTGCCAGAGGGGTGGCGCTTTGTGAGTGTCAAACAGAGACTCAAAAGACCTCAGTTCAAATCCTGACTCACTAGGGCCAATCCCTTGCCTCTCAGACTTAGCCTGCCTCACAGGGTTTGCTCTGAGGATTAAATGTGGGAGAGAGAGGGAAGAAACATGGACACTCTAATTTTTATTTTTATTTATTTATTTTATGAATCGTTTCCCACGAGGCATCCTGAAGCTATTTACAATACAATAAAAGTGTACGTAAAACAGTCACATATATTTCTTTTTTAAAAAAATTCTAAAATTTGCACATATAAAAACAAAGGCTTACATCCTTTGAAATTCACACTTCTTCAAATTTAGCAGCGCAGTTCTCCAGCTAAGTAATGTGTGCAAATTTATATATACTAGGGCAAAGTGTGCATTAAAACGTGCTATATTACAGGAAAATGTTTTGCAAAGAATGTATGTATCGGGCAAAGGAGCAGGCAGAAATGTGTCTATTAGGACAAACTAGCGCTGAAATGCTGATGAATTTTCATGCAGTTTTTTGGGTTTTTTTAATGCAAACTGGTGTGGAAATATGGAGAACTGAAGAATGGGAAAATGAGAAATGGAGGGAAAATGAAATGGACAGAAAGAATTTATCTTCCCTTGCGAGGAGGAGAGAGAGAGAGAGAGAGAGAGAGAGAGAGAGAGAGAGAGATTCAAAAGCCCCTGCTTTTAAATTTTAGATGTGAATTTAATGTTGAACTGCATCCTGTGCTACTGATGAGCAGCTGGTGAAAATGTTCTCTCTCTCTCTCTCTCTCTCTCTCTCTCTCAGCTCAAAGCATAGGCAGGGATATATCCACGTCTGAGATGTGCATCGTACCGTTCTTCTAATTGTAGTTTTATGCATGCCCACTCCATTCCCATTAGTGACAGAGTTGTACTAGCATTAGCCCAGAGGCAACGAATAACTAGTGGGCAGTTTAATCAGAAGGAAAGGGGGAAAATAAAATTAATGTAGCATGCAGGAGGTTTGGGCAGAGCGTTTTGCTCATCTTTATTGTGCAAAGCTGGGTCATGTTTATTTTGCAGGTTTGGGAAGAAAAGGTTAAACAGGCCCAAAATCTATACAGTTTTAGCCACATATGTTTTGCCCCCTTCCAACGCCCCCTTCCGATGCCATTGTATCAACACAGGTTCATGTCTTATAGCGAGGCTCAAGTTGGACAGAGATGCCAACATTTGTCTGCATCAATTTCATTCTCTCATCATCGAATTCTAGAGTTGGAGTCATCTAGTCCGTTGCTGGTTTTTGAGGCTCAGGTGGCCTCGGTGGGGCACGGTGCTTTTCATCCGCTTTGGCTAGTGGCCCAGCTGCACCCCTGTCTGGACAGAGACAGCCAAATTACTGCTGTCTATGCTTTGGTCCGTATAGTCCGTATAGTAAAAGCCATGGTTTTCCCAGTAGTGATGTATGAAAGTGAGAGCTGGACCATAAAGAAGGCTGATCGCCAAAGAATTGATGCTTTTGAATTATGGTGCTGGAGGAGACTCTTGAGAGTCCCATGGACTGCAAGAAGGTCAAACCTCTCCATTCTGAAGGAAATCAGCCCTGAGTGCTCACTGGAAGGACAGAACCTGAAGCTGAGGCTCCAAGACTTTGGCCACCTCATGAGAAGAGAAGACTCCCTGGAAAAGACCCTGATGTTGGGAAAGATGGAGGGCACAAGGAGAAGGGGAGGACAGAGGACGAGATGGTTGGACAGTGTTCTCGAAGCTACCAGCATGAGTTTGACCAAACTGCAGGCGGTAGTGGAAGACAGGAGTGCCTGGCGTGCTCTGGTCCAGGGGGTCACGAAGAGTCGGACACGACTAAACGACTAAACAAGAACAACAACAATGCTTTGGTAACCTCTAGGTTAGATTACTACAACATATTATATGTTCCTTCTTCTTTCCTTTCTTCTCTTTGGCGATCCCTCATAGCCGACTAAGATTGTCTTCCATAAGCACGGTCTTAACAATGAGTCCGTAAGTGACCGTGGAAGACAATTCTGGATCCACACGTCCTTCCACAGTGGGGACATAGGTTTCCAGGCGGGAGTTGATCACGGTGTGGATTTGCCAAACATGCCTTCCTCTTAGCATGTTTCTCCCTTGCGTCCTGAGTTCGAGTGTCTTCAAAGCCCATTGACACCTTTGGTAAAGGCTATTCTCCAATTGGAGTGCTTGCAGGCAAGTGTTTCCCAATTTTTGGTGTTTATACTACATGTTTAGAGATTTGCCTTGAGACGGTGTTTAAACCTCTTTTGTTGACCACCAGCATGACGCTTGCTGTTTTTAGGTTCAGAATAGAGAAGCTGCTTTGGATAATCAGGCATCCGCACAACATGACCAGTCCAAAGAAGTTGATGTTGAAGAATCGTTGCTTCAACACTGGTGATCCCCCCAAAATATTGGCTCCCTGGTTCTTTAGTTGTGTCCAGTATCTGTCTCTTTGACCTCTGCTTTGAACATCTGATTGTCTATTTTTTGGGGAAAGACTGTTGGACCGTTGGCCTAGGACAGCAGGGCAAGCCTTAGAAGAAGTCTTAAACACACTGTTAAAAGCAGTTGATTTGGAAACTTCAGCTAGTGCAAAATTTGGCGGACAGGTTGCTGACCAGGATAAGACGGTTTGAGCATATTACACCGATCTTGGCCCAACTGCACTGCCTGCCAGTGAGTTTCCAGGTGCTGGTTTTAACCTATAAAGCTTTAAATAACTGAAGGCCACATATGAACCTGCCCAGACCCTGTTATCATCATCTGAGGCCCTTCTTCATGTGTCTCCTTCATGAGAGGTCCGTTTGGGGGCAAAACAAGAACAGGCCTTTTCTGTGTTGGCCCCCCTCTCATGATGTAGGCTCGGACTCCAAAACCCTCCTTGTGAATGTGAAGTAACTGTATTTTTTTTCATTACCTATGGGACTTGTGTGTTTTTTATTGTACGTTTTTAAAGTAACGCTAGCAATGTGTGAATGAGACAAACGATGGGGGTGCGGTTAGCTCTACGTAGCTCCGAGATTTCTAAAACTTTGCTAAATATACACAGTATGAACTATAAGCCAACCAATTTTATTTCTAAGACCTGTAAGTTAGGGGACCTGCGAGAGAGGCCATTCCAGAGAATGAGATCTGAGCTCATTCCCACCCTGCCCCTAATTTGGGCTGGGTTATGGTGATAGCAACAGATGCTTCCCCAGTTCAGCATGTGGAAATAGGTGCAAGATTGGGTCTGTAGTGTCATCCGCCAATATTTATGGACACAGTCTATGGCCAAGGAGAAGCAAGCAAGAACATTTTGAGCCATGGTCAGGTGAGTCCCAGTTTTGTGCTGATTGGCTTCGCCCATGTCAGCTGACTCCTAGCTGTCTGCTGATTGGTTCTGCCTTAATTGCACTTCTTGGACTCCTTCCTATGCTCATAATTCCCTAGGATTAATACCAGCCTACTTGCTTGCTTTGGTTCTTCAGTCTTTCAACCTGCACACATAATTCTGCTATTTGCCACATTTTCATCCTGTCCAAATGTCCACGATAAATCCAGGGACCAACCCACATCTGGGGCCATAGATGGTCAACGCTGACAATTATTAGTTTGGCATGAAGTCAAGGGGGGCAGCTCAAGGGGGCGAACGGAAAAATAGACAGTGGGACAATGAGACCCAGGAAACTGGGCCATTTCTTATTTCTGAATCAGCCCCCATTCCCCGAGAGTTCTCGGTTGACGTGATCAATATGACAGGGTTTGTGTATTTGCCCCCCGCTCAGCTCCATTTATTTTTAATGTCTAGCGCCGAGTGTTTTTGTCAGGAAGATGTTGCAATCTAGACTGTGTACTCAATGAACAATTTATCTTGTCTGGGAACAAATTAACCAAAGTAAGCAATTAGTGGGAGTACTCAACCAATCACAATGCTCTCTCTCTCTCTCTCTCTCTCTCTCTCTCTCTCTCTCTTCATGTGATAATATGTTGTTGTCGTTGTCTCCACTGCAGTGTCGAAAACTGTTGCGGCATAGGGGCTAGAGGAACTGAAGATGGGTTCAGAATGCCTATTTAGCCGTCAAAAATCATTGGTCAGCCTTATCCAAGTCACTAGCCTCCAGCGTCTCTGCAAGGATAAAACGGGATGATAACCATGTATGAACTAATCTCTGAGCTCCATGGGGGAAGGGAAGAGTCTGGAAGTATTCCAGGCTAGCCCAGGAGCTCTTGCCGACTGATTTTTGCTGATTTGAAGGAATTTGGCAAGTGAAAAGACATTTTGGGTAAGGTTTTCCCAAGATACTTCTTTCCGCTGCAGAGAAAAGATTTCGGGTCGTTAAGAGAGTCAAATACAAACATGGCAGGGGAGACACCTTGATCATGGAGGTGGTTTTCTCAATGTGAGGCTCATCCATTGCACTGTGGGGGTGCTGTCCCCTGTGATTTCCCCAAATGTGGGAAAAGTGGACTGCATCATTTGTGACAGTGGGGGGCTGTATTCGTGCTGTTTAAGAGAGAGAGAGAGAGTGTGTCAAGATGGTATTAGGATCGCTCTGTAAACTCAGATAAAGTGTCTATTTTTTCCAGAGACTATTTCTGTTATGTACTGAGTTGAATAGGAGCCGAAATGCAGCAGTCTGATTGGTCCTAGAACAATAGGATCCAAAATGCAGCAGTCTGATTGGTCCTAGAACAATAGGATTCTGAATGCAGCAGTCGGATTGGTCCTAGAACAATAGGATCCAAAATACAGCAGTCTGATTGGTCCTAGAACAATAGGATCCAAACTGCAGCAGTCTGATTGGTCCTAGAACAATAGGATCCAGAATGCAGCAGTCTGATTGGTCCTAGAACAATAGGATCCAGAATGCAGCAGTCTGATTGGTCCTAGAACAATAGGATCCAGAATGCAGCAGTCTGATTGATCCACAGGAGCCACCCAATCCAGCTCCAGGTGGAAGTGAATCCACAACCTGATTGGCCTACAGGAGAATTCCAGAATTAGCCAATCACGTGCAGCCCATTGTGTAAATAATGTATATAAAGCAGATACTTTGGGGAAACATTCATTCCTCCTCACCACCATGAGCTGAATAAAGAGCATGAAATCCACTCTCAACTCTGAGTATATTTCAGTTTCCTAATTTTGAAGGGCAAAGGATTGGTTTGCTGTGGAGCGTGTGCCTGCCTGTATGCCCCTTAAAATTCATGTAACACACTTCCAGGCCTACCTTGAGGGCAAGATCCCCCCCCGTTCGGTGGCAACGAGGCCACACAATTGCGGGGTGCACACAGCCTTATTTTTATGGCGACGTTTCCTTTTTCAGCGCTGGAAAGGTTATTTCAGGCAGGCCTGGAAACCGTGTCGTTTGCCGCTGAGGTTGCTTTCTATTTTCTCTTAAGCGTGGTGACACCAGTCTCTTAAGTGGAACGAGAAGACAGGCGAAATGAAGGAGAAGCCAGCTGGGGAGATGAAGGGCCAAAGATGATTCTCGGGAGAGTTGTGGATGAATGTTTCCCTCTCTGTCGGGTTTTCCTGTGAAGGCCGTCGCCCTGGGGGATCCGCATGCCTGACACCTCGTTGCTCGTTTCTCCTTCGAGATGTTCACGGACCCCTCCTGAGAGAGGGAGAACAGGAGTGCAGAACATACAACCCATAATTACACTCTGTGGGGTGTAGCTGGGGGCAAGGGAAAGCGTGTGGTGGGGTTTTTTGTTAAGTTGTGGGGAACATATCAGACGACACAGCACAGACAGCTCTTGTTTATTCCAGGCCCAGAACAGAACTGGGCTGAAGGGTTCAGCCAACCTGCTTATATAGAGCTCAACTACAAAGCAACAGTAACAACTTTCTGTAACTATCCAATCACTGAACGTCACTTTCAATTCCTTATTTGCATATGCGGACCTGAGTGAAAACTATCTACAGTATCCCCCTGCTGGCCCAGGGTGAGAACTTCAGTACGTAACAGGTTTAATAAGCCAAAGAAACCTCTCAGCTCACTAACTGATTGGCGTTGCCTTAAATCTTCGGAAGGAATTTGTCTGAGAAATATATATATATATATATATATATATATATATATAAAATGAGTACCTTTGGGACTGTTAAAAGGTATCCTTCTGCAAAACGATGCCGACAACATCTGGTAATCTGAACTTATACGAAGCGCATATTGAATTCCGGTGGCCATCTGGTATAAATTGGGGCCTGGTCTGTCAACCGGGCTCAAAGCATCAGAAGGCTGAGCATTACATCGGCAAGGAAGAACCCCTCTTTTGTAGCTAGCAGATCACTGCAGCAAGGACAGGGGTTCGAATGTGGCCCACAAAGCCCACTGGGAGGACAAATCACAGCTCCTCAGCCTTACCTTAAATAACTGGGGTGCTGCAAAGACAAAAGTGGACAGATGCCCCTGCTCCTTCTATAGGACATTGCTTTGGGATCTTCTGCCTTCCTGAATGATACGAAGGCCATAACCATCAGGACCAATGGTCAGGGCTGATGAGAGCTGTAGCCCAGCAACACCTTGAGAACCACAGGTCCCCCAAACCTTGCACCTATCTCTAATTCTGTTTCTATTCATCTTTCTAAAAGTTGCATTTGTTTGTTGTGTTTTCCCCCCGTGAACTCATACAGACTTTTTACGATTATATCTCATGTAAACCACTTAAGAGAGTTCTGCTTTATATTAATGGGCATCTAGGGATGTTCTAGATAAGCCGGCCCAGATGTTTAGAAAGTTTGCCTGAGTTTTAATTTGCTTTAGTCTAGTCTGTTGTGGTTTTAGCTTTCGGTGTGTTTTGAATTATGGCTGGAAATTCTGCAGCAATCATTTCATTGTTTTTATCTTTTTTGATTCCACAATCAAGCGGTATATACCGTATTTTTCGCTCTATAAGATGCACCAGACTACAAGACCCACCTAGTTTTTGGAGGAGGAAAACAAGAAAAAAAATATTCTGAATTTCAGAAGCCAGAACAGCAAGAGGGTTTGCTGCGCAGTGAAAGCAGCAATCCCTCTTGCTGTTCTGGCTTCTGTAATAGCTGCGCAGCCTGCATTCGCTCCATAAGACGCACACACATTTCCCCTTACTTTTTAGGAGGGAAAAAGTGAATCTTATAGAGCAAAAAATACGGTAATTTGTATGCAATAAGCAAACAAATGACAAAGAAACAAACAGGCAGATATGGCCGCAATTCCTGTTAAGGAACAGGCATTATCCGAACACCACAATGCTCCAGTATTCTGGTGTTGCCTGTAAAAGGATGGTGGAAAGATTCCCAGAAACTTCTTACCACTGGGGAAAGTGTGTGTGTGTGTGTGTGTGTGTGTGTGTGTGTGTGGTTGGGGGTGATAGTGAGGGCGATGAGTAATCATGCTCCATGTGACATTTCCATTCTTCACTGCTGTTTGGCGTGACTCATCTTGAAATGTGCAAACTCCGTCTCCTGCCGATCCGCTGGCTCCAGGACAAGGCAGTTCAGATCAGCCTGCGACATTCTCTGGGAAGACTCAGCAAATAACATGCAAGCTAAACAAAGCATTTTTTCCGAGCCAATTTGGAGGGCGACTGGAAGGCAGCGAGCTCGCAGATTAAGTGGCTACTCTGACAGCTGGCAAGATTCATTACCTGGTGAACTTTAACTATGGGGCTGGTAGATCTTTCAGTTAGGAGAGCTGCAAGTCCTAAGATGGTCCTACTCAGAAGCAAGGCCCACTGAGTTGCTGTGAGCTTTGGGGGTTTACTTATATACTGACTTTTGGGCCCAAAGCAGTGAAAAGCCCATTAATATGTATATGCATATGGAGAAAGTGCTACGAATGCAAACAATCAATTGAAATAAATCTGTACTGGCAATTTTTTTATTTATTAATTGTGGCTGTTTCAATTGTTTTACCATGTGTGTTTGCTGCCCTGGGCTGACTGTGTTATGTACTGAAGTTCTCACCCTGGGCCAGCAGGGGGATACTGTAGATAGTTATGCAAATAAGGGATCAAAAGTGACGTTCAGTGATTGGATAGTTTTAGAAAATTGTTACAGTTACGTTGTACTGGAGCTCTATATAAGCAGGCTGGCTGAACCCTTCAGTTCAGTTCTGTTCTGGCCTGTGAATAAACAAGAGCTGCTTGAAGAATCGCTGTGTCGCCTGATATGTTCACCCACAACTTAACAGACAGGATATCCATTTAATAAATAAATAAACAAACCAAAACTTTGTCACAAGCCTGGCAAACCTGGAACTGTACTTGATGATCTGATAGTGTTGATAGTGTTTACTTGGACTTTGTTATTTTAACCCATGTGCAGCTACTTATTATACGTGCTTATATCGTAGTTTCGTCTTTTATCTTTTAACTTTCGCCTGTTGTTATAATTGTTCTTTCTGCTTTCTATAGTTTATGAATTGAAATAATAATAATAATAATAATGTTAAAAAATTATGAATAAGTAAGCACGTAAAACAATACAAGCTAGCAAAATTACAAAATGCCTACTCATCATACGAGATACGCCTTAGGAAAGCCAAATAAGCCTGCAGGAAAGAAACAGAGAAACATCCATCAATTTATCATGGTTTTCCTCCATGGTGGTGTACATAGTTTTCTCACTTTATCCTCACAGCAGCTTAGACCAGGCATGTCCAAAGTCTGTTTTAGGGGCCTAATCTGGCCCGCTGGTCAGCTTCAATCCTTTTAAAAGTTCAATAACTTTGGGGTAAAATAAAATCCTTTAAAAAGGCCCTTCACTTCATTAAATATGACCCCCTTTGAAAAAAGTTTGGACACCACTGGCTTAGACCACCGGAAGGCAAACTAAGACCCGGGGGCCGCATCCAGCCCAATTGCCTTCTCAATCCTGCCCGTGGACAGTCCAGGAATCAGTGTGTTTTTACATGAGTAGAATGTGTCCTTTTATTTAAAATGCATCTCTGGGTTCTTTGTGGGGCATAGGAATTTTTTCTTTCCCCCCCTTCAAAATATAGTCTGGCCCCCCACAAAGTTTGAGGGACAGTGAACCAGCCCCCTGCTGAAAAAGTTTGCTGACCCCTGGGCCTGAGACTGAGATGCAATGACTAGCCCAAGGTCACTCAATGAGCTGAGGGGGGATTTGAACCCTGGTCTCTCAAGGTGCATATAGTCCAGTGCTCTAACCACTACACCACACTGCCTCTCGAGCCACCCTGTTCTCTCACCTAGGATTTATGTCCTCCTTTCCCGTCTCCCAGCTGAGAACACAGCAAGTTTTAATGGGCCTTGCTGTTTGGTGCAGCAAATGTGCACAGGATGTGGCCTTTGTTGCTTCCACGAGAAATGGTCATTTTCGGCTACGTGTTAAAACGACTTTACATAACCCACGGATTGCCAGCTCAGTCCCAAAGCGGGGGAAATGTCAGAGCCTTCCTTTTGCATGGTGCAAGAAGGGGACGGATCCTTTTCATGAACAAGCCTGGCAGTGGGCCAAAGCGACTTCATTGAATATCCGAAGAGACCTCCTTCTTACAAGGGTCTACAGACGTCCTCATGAATGTACACAGGATGGGGATGCTGTTACCATGGTGACACCAAGCCTGTATCCCCATCGCCTCCTGTTGTACACACTTTTTCCAGAGGGTTGGGGGAGAAATGGGGGTTTGGAGGCTACCAAAACCACAAGTTGGGAGGCGATGATCCGGTATCTGGAAAGGAGAAGCTCAAATGCTGCCCCAACAAATAAACCGGAAGATTTTGCACATCTCTCAGAGGTGCAAAGGTGACTTTGTGTTTCTGTGAAAAAAGGACAAGGGACCCCACGGTGCTTTCGCTTCATATACTTAAAAATAAGCCTGGCTTCCCGCTGTTTCAAAAGGACTCGAGAGCAATGACTTTAATGTGCTCTTGAATTTACATATGTTAAAAAGGGGGGATGTAAAAAATCGTCTGTAATGCAAATTCAGGATCCTTTCAGCCTTGATGATAAATCAGGTAACGCTAGTCATTCTGCTGTTAAATTTAACAGGCGTATGGCCACACTCCAAACAACGGGAAAGTATGCAGAGTATATAATAATAATAATAATAATAATAATAATAATAATAATAATTGCACAGATATGAATTTTCGCGCCAAAGAGATGCCCTCATTGGGCAAAAAAAGGGGTTTCAATAAAAGCTGGTGATCTAAGCTGCCTGCTCTTTTCCTGTCAAAGGTCCCTGGCTCAATATCCACCACCCTCCCCCCCAGGTAAATCAGGGCAAGACTCTTGTCTAAAATAGCTGGAGAGCTATTGGCATTCAGTTTTTACAATACCAACTTAGGCTCAAGTAGCACTCCCATCGTTCAGCCTGGACACTGAGGTCCAGCACCGAGGGCCTTCTGGCGGTTCCCTCATTCCAAGAAGTGAGGTTACAAGGAACCAGGCAGAGGGCCTTCTCGGTAGTGGCACCCGCCCTGTGGAACGTCCTCCCATCAGATGTGAAGGAAATAAGCAGCTATCCTATCTTTAAAAGACATCTGAAGGCAGCCATGTTTAGGGAAGTTTTTAATATGTAATGCTGTATTGTTTTTAACACACGATTGGGAGCTGCCCAGAGTGGCTGGGGAAACTCAGCCAGATGGGCGGCGTATAAATAATAACTTATTATTATTATTATTA